TGTCCCTGTCCCCATCCCCGTGGCCTCCAAATCCCTCCCGACATTCCAGGGACGGGGACAATCCCCGAGGGGTGGCAGTGGCGGTGCCACCACGGCGAGGGGACTGTCACTGTCACCTCCATGGGGATGTGACACCCGCGGGCGGCAGAAGCGAAACCTCGTGGCTGTCACAGCTGTCCCCGGACTTTCCTGCTCGGGTGGCCTGGAGGTGACATCAAGGAGGGTGGCAGGGCTGGGTGTCACCACCGGGCATGGAAAACACCGGGATGGGGCAGTGGGGACACCCTGGGGACATCGTGGGGACATCGGGGACCACCCCGAGGACATCAGGGGCCACCCTGGGGACATTGGGGTCTATCCTGTGGACATCAGGGACACCATGGGGACATTGGGGACCGTCCTGGGACACCCTGGGGACGTCAGGGATCACACTGGGGACACCCTGGGGACGTCAGGGACACCCTGGGGACGTCAGGGACACCCTGGGGACATGAGGGATGTTCCCACGGTTCTAGAGGTGACAAAAATCGCCTCACGTCAAACAGCGACAGAATAGAGGAAGTCGCAACCCGGGTGACACCGCTGGTGACAGGGGGGTGACATCCCTGTCACGAGCTGGGGGTGGCACCTCAGGGCATGTGGGGGGGGCACCACGCTGAGCCCGGTTTGGGGACAAGGAGGGGACAGGGAAAGGGGGACAGGAATTTTCCTGCGACAGGAAAATTGTCCCTTCCTGGGACTGGGGACACAGAATTGTCCCATCCTGGGGAAAACCGTCCCATTCCACGACAGGGTTCACAAAAAATCGTCCCGTCCCGGGGCAGGAAAATTGTCCCATTCCAGGACAGGGTTCACAAAAATTGTCCCATTCCAGGACAAGGGGGAACAGGAAAATTGTCCCGGGCAGGGGCAGGGGTCAGGAAATCGCCCCGGGGAGGGGCAGGAGAGGCCGGAGCCGGTCCCGGGCAGCCCCCCCGGTACCCCCCGGTATCCCCCGGGTCCCCTCCGGTCCCGGGCAGCCCCCCCGGTACCCCCGGGTCCCTCCCGGCCTCTCCGGTCCCCCCCGGTCCCCTCCGGCCCCCCCGGTCCCTGCACGATTTCGCCGCAAAGCCCCGGAAATTCCCCGGGGAGGGGAGGAGGGGGACGGGCCTGGGGATACAAAAAAAAAAAAAGAAAAAAACGGGGGCGGGAGCGGCCGGGAGAAAGCGGAGGGAGCGAGGGGACACGGACACGGGGACAGGGGACAGGGACAGACACAGGGACAGACACGGGGACAGACACGGGGACACGGGGGAAAGCAGAGCCCACCCCGAGACCCCGAACTGAACCGACCCGGAAGAGCCCAAAGGGAACCGAGCGGGGAAACCGAAGCGGATCCGTCCCGGGGAAACCGAATTGATCCGTCCCGGGGAAACCGAATCGATCCGTCCTGGGGAAACCGAATTGATCCGTCCTGGGGAAACCGAATTGATCCAGCCCGGAGATCCCGAATTCATCCATCCCGGAGAATCCGAATTCATCCATCCCGGAGAATCCGAATTCACCCATCCCGGAGAATCCGAACCCACCCTTCCTGGGGTCCGGATCCAACCCAGAGACCCCAAAAACCCCAAAACCCGGCACCAGCAGCGGGCCCCGCTGTCCCCCCGCCATGGTGGCCCCCGCGCTGCTGGCACTAGCCCTGGGCACCTGGGCTGTCACCGCAGGTGAGGGGGACACCGAGGGCAGGGGGGATGGGGGGGGTGGGGGGGGACAAACCCACGTGGTCGCCACATTGCCCCTTTAGTCGCCACATTGCCCCTTTAGTCGCCACCCCAAAAATGTCACCGAGCCCCTTTGGGGGGAGGATGTGGTGGCGGAGCTGTCGCCCATTCGGGGAATTTTATTAATTTTTTAATACCCCCTCTCCACTAGAAAAAAAATATTTTTTTTAATTATTTTTTTTTTTAATACCGCCCCCACCGTCGGGGAATTTTATGATTTTGTTTATCCATTAAAAAAAAAAAATTATTTATTTT